ATATAGGGTGCTTCATATATGTTGAACTTCTTCATAAGGATAGACTCTTTACAAGTTATTCTATTATGTTAAACATGCAATTTAGCTACAAGATTCAATGCTGTCTTTCAGCAAAATAAAGGCAAAGGACAATTAAATTAAAAATAGGTTAACTAGAGCATGAAATATACAGCCTAAATGCATTTTTCTCACATTGAGTTTTGACTAAATGAGAGTATGGCAATGCTAACATGCCTCAGATGTAGCTAAGTCAAAGGTGGAGGTTAATGTTGTTAATCAAGGAAATGGGCTAATGTCTTTTTAAATAACTACATTAATTAAATTATACATTATGCAACTTGGTTCTAAGTACATGTTAGTATCTGGGAGAATCTGTTCTTTCAAAACATGTTTTCTGTAAGTGATCCTATTCACTATCTTAAAAACATATAATACTGTACTGTAGTAGTAGGACAATAAGAATGTAGAAGTTTTCATAGTGATAAATAAACATAATATATAGTCATAAAAGCTTTAGTAATAAAAATGGCAATAAAAGGTAGTTGATAACTATCTTACTTAGAGAATATTTTATAGTTGAGTCTTTAATGTATTTAGAAGTTTCTAAGTTGAATTTTAATGATTTTACAAAGTGGATACAAGTATTTGTTAAATATATTACAATAATGAAATCTCATAATATAACCTAATTAAAAGGTACAAAATTTTCTTCATCAAAGTTAGGATTAATATAATGAATATATTCAGGTTACATGTTTAGTACATAATTTTGTACTAAAATATCTCATAAACCTTTATAAAATTTTTCAATACTTTATAAGCATATTCCAATAATTATCCATTATACAAGGAGCAAATAAGATAAGCATGGCTATGGCACTACACTAACTGGAACTATGGAAGAGAAATATTTAAAAGTTATTGATATAAAATTAAGACTTATTTATATTTTCATAACACTTGAGCTAAACATTAAGTTCTACAACATGAATAAAATTTGTTTTATCAATATTTTATCATATAAAATGTTAATGTTTCATATTACTGCAATGCCCCTATATTTTATGAAAAGATCAGTTTCTTCTCTGATAGCTACTCATATACATAACTGTGGCAAAAGTGTGCTATGTTATTCATCCATTACAAAAGTTGTAAGATGTTTAATTTCCTTGACAGAAAGCTGCCACAATTACAGTTTGAAAATAAGAATAAGTAAGACTTTTTCAAAACTACTCAAAACTAATCATATTCAAAATTATAGGGCAATTAAAAAGACAGCCCATTTGATCAAGGATAGTGAACTGGAGTCATATATAAGTTTCTCATTATATTTACCAGCTTAAAAAAAAAAAAAAAACCTCGTACAAAGTTTAATGGCAGAGAGATTTTCTCTATATTTGAAAATAAGATCAATAGAAATAAGAGTTTGAACAAAAGTGATGTATTTTCCTCCCACCAATTCATGAAGTTTCTCAATGAAAACTCCAGTGATGTCAGGTGAGGATGCCTGTTTATCTCATTTCTATTTCCGTACGTTTTAACTTCAGATTTGTCAAATAAAATGAAGACTAAAGACTGGCATGCAAAATTTGTTTATATGTCTAAATAAAATATATTAAGCATTTATATGGTCTTTGTGGAAGTTTGAATAGGAAATGTACAGGAAAGATTTTTAGCTTATCTTCATATTTTGCCAGGAAGTTTTTATCATTTGAATGTTTATACAGGAGGGAAGACACAATACTGTAAAACAAATACAACAAACGAAGTCTTCTTGAAGTAGCCTACTCAAGTGGAACTTTAACAAAAGTTTGACATCCAGCTGATGAAAAGTATTATACCTTTGCTTACAAATGTAATTTTGTAAGCCCAAACACGGTTTGTTAAAACTGGTGCTTTAATCCTATTACTTTTTTCAAACTTGAACAATATAAAAAGAACACAATTTAAAAAATATTTAACTATAAAATTTATATCAATTTAACAAAAACCTGTCTCTGTATTTCTTTCTCATTATTGCAATTTATAAAGATTACACTTCTTTGGAAAATACAAATTCTTTTGAAATTAAATGTTTTCAAATGATTTCCTCATATAGCCCATCTTCACCATGACAAATCATTACAAAATTTACTTGATTATGTAGGGTTTTTTGTTTAACTGAAAAATACATAGTATTTCATGCTTACTCTAGGATAAATAGTAAACAAGGTATTTCAGTAAAGAGTATAATAAGCACATCTTTCATTAATAAAAAATTCACTAATATTTACTCCAGAACAAGTCATACCTCTTTTATTATACAAAGGAATAATGGGATTGTTATATGACACAATTACATGATAGCCAGTATCAATTATGATGTTCTTGGTAAATTTCTTGAATTCATCTTATAAAGAATGTATTTATAAAAAGCTGAGCGTGGTGGCACACACCTTTAATCTCAGCACTCCACTCCGGAGGTAGAGCAGGTAGATCTTTGAGTTTGAGGCAAGCCTGATATATAAAGTAAGTTCCAAGACAGCCAGGGCTACACAGAGAAACCCTGTCTCAAAAAAATTGTGTTTGTAAACTTTGGTTTCCCATCCCAGCATATTTTTTGTTTGAAATACATGCTACAGAAATCCTTTAAGGGACAGACTTTAAAATATAATGCTTTAAATATATGCACTTTGCTACTACCATCAGTGTTGAATACTCTGTGTGGATCAAGACCCAACAAAGCAAGCCAATTTGTTTAAATGAGCCAATACATACAATTTTTATGTAGTTTCCTAAAGGAGTCTAGTGAGACAATCATATTGTGGAAAGTATCTGTTCCTAGGATAAGAGAATTTGTAAATCAGATGGGAGGTGACTTAAGACATTAAGGGGTGTATGAGGCAGTATCAATATTGTCAACTGGTTCAGATTTTTAAATGAAACAAAATTCTCTTTGGAGTACTTATTTGAAAAATGTACAAACATAAAGGCATAATACTTGGAACAGGCAGGCACCTAGGATCAGAGTTTGTATGCAACGTCTCTGAATAGGTTTCAAGTGTACATGGTAATGCTTTTAGAAGGGTAGAGTTAATCTGCACAAAGTTGAAAAATAAGGAAGATTCTTTAAACTAATGACATTCTAGAATTATAGCCTTTATACATGCATGCTTTTCTACATGAAGATTTATTAATTCAAAAATCAAAGAAAACTTAATTGGACAGAGTCCCAGGTTTCGCTGGCTATGATTCTTTTGTTCCACTGCCTTCATAAATGAGGAATTCTATCACTTACCAAAAATTCTTTAAACAGTATCAGGAATTCCCTTCAAATTAAACTATGGGGGAAGGAGACATCAAATAACCAATTATTGGTAAATGAATGAAGAGAAGAGGACAAATATAAATGAAACAAGCTATGTAATGTAATGTTAATCACTGAAGATTTATAATGTGTACATAGAAGTTAATTTTATTCTTGAATTGATGTGTGTATAAAAAAATCTTTAAGAGAAGTGCAAGGTTGATATTGCTGGTTGTCTTGCTTGAGACATGAGTTGAATTTGAGGACTCGATCTTGGAAATAATTCCTGATATATTGTGTCATGCCATACATAGATCATTTAAAAGTAGGAGTTGAACAAATCCATCTGCATATGATGGCTATGAACTATCCTTTTTACAAAAAGGACTTTTTAGTAATTCCAATATAGACACACAGGGCAGTCCTCTGCCAGGAAAATCTGTTCTTTAAAGGACTATCTTTAATTTGTTACATGAGCTGAATTTTTTATTCTGTCTGGACTGATGATTTTTAGGGACAATCTATAAGAAATAGATCTATTTTTGTTTAGTTCCATTGTAACCATGAACAATCTCTTTATATGGCACCTTGCTTCCCTCAGCAACCTTGTGATATAGTCCTTATAGTCTCCAAAATTATCTTTAAATATAAACCAGAGGGAGGGAGGGAGGGAGGGAGGGAGGGAGGGAGGGAGGGAGGGAGGGAGGGAGGGAGGGAGGGAGGGAGGGAGAGAGGAAGAAAAGAAAGAAAAGGAAAGGAAACTGCTCCATTCTTTCAAACCCACAGTGGTTTCCTACTAGAGACTTCTCACAGGCCCCATCTCTTTATCAGTCCTACTTGCTCACAATTGTCTGGCAACAGCTTATTTCATCTCAGATTATTTGTATTTACAAGTTTCTTTTTCTTGCTCTTAATGGCATGTCCCTAATACGGATTTTCTTTATCCACTTACCCAGTTATTTAGGCAAGAGCACCGAAGAGTTCTAGAATTACACTGGATGTTCTTTGTGTAACATCTTAGTACTTAGTACTCACAGGGTGACACCAAAGGTGAACTTGCGAGAACTCTAAAACTGTAGTCACTACAATTGAATTTGAATATGCATTTTAATAAGATCCCTAGGTGAACCTTATACTGGTCTAATACATGACGTTAATAGATTTCTGCTGCTGCTAATGGGCTTTAAAGAATAATCACTCAGTTGGCAGAATTTTAACTTATAGTGCTATATATATGTGTGTGTGTGTATATATATATGGAATATGAATTCTGTTAAATAATAACTATTGGAGAATAACAAATTGGTATATGCTTATTTTCAGAAACATTTCCCAAATGATTGAAGCAATATTTTATCTTTTGAATGTATATTGGGAAAATTACTAGATATATTCATTTCTCAGAACAAGATCATGTAAACAGTTTAAGAATTTTTAGGTTCCTTTCTAATAGTCAATCTCAGGTCTTAAAATGTGCACTTTTACTTAAAGTCTTCCATCATGGTTTTATCAAATAATACCTAGTTTTAAGGAATAAACATGCCATAATCATTGTTAACTGTTTAAATCCCAGCTCATGTTAACTAATGCACAAAATTGAACAAGATATTTTTAAAAGATCAAACTGCCTAAGAGAAAGTTTAAGTGAGAAATCCTTAATCAGGAATGCACATTATAACACAACTTATAAAATAAATTTTATAAAACTTTGAAGTGCAATAAATGCTTTTTATTGTATGCTCATTTCAATGAGTAACATTTAGAAATAATAAGTCCACATAACAGTAACAATCTTATTTTACAGCGTGTACATCATTTACAGCCACATAACACACAAGTTTAGTAGATTTTCCAAATTTAGTATTCTGAAGTTAAGAAAGATAAAAAAATTTATTTTCAAGTAACTGATTCTTATCTGGTGCAAAAACAGAAAGGTGAATATTACTTAAAACACAAAGCCACAATTATAGCATGAAGAAAAATTTCATTTTAATTATGCTGAACAGCTGAATATAAACTAAATTAAGCCAACTAAAACTTAAAAGTACACATCATATGCATTACATTTATGAACAGGATTTTCATTAAAATTCCCTACACCAGCTTTTAATATTAAGCGCCATTTTGATTTGCAGCATGCTAACACAAAGCGTTGTTAAAGGGATGCATATTTTAAATTTATACACTGTAAACTGAATATCCACCTCCAAACTCTATTGGCAGCATATTGTTCTGTCAACTACTGCATAAATACCGCCTCATTGAAAATTCATGTTAAGAATATGGTATATCGATTTTAAAAATCAAACTTTTCAATAATGGCATAAAATTGCACCTTTAAACATTACAGCAAGTAAGACTTGAACAGTCATACTTACTAAAACTGTCCTAAAAATTCTAAATATTTTAATATTTAAGAAAACTGTTCTCTCAATTTAATATTTAGATTATAAGAAACATAGTGCTGACTTTGTAACATAGTTGCATCCATTTTAGAAAGCCACATTTGACTCAAATACACTTTTATCATATATGCCATACTGAATCTACTTGAACATCAAAACTGGAACTTTATTTCTTATATTTCACTTCAGATTTCAGTACAGAATGCTATGTTTTAAACATCCTATCCTGTGATAAAATATCAGCAACTCTGAAGTTCTTTTTTTTACTAGTACTGAATGAATATAACTTGGTTTCTCAGTGAGATTCCTTGTAACGAATACACAAAACTTTTGCCATTTCTGGAATCCAATGTCCAGGTACAATATAAAAGGCTCAATGACTAAGTGACTGATGGATGACTGCATTTTCTTTGCCCACCCCATTTCTAAAATTGCATAAAAGTGAGGCTGCTTGCTACAGCAAAGCATTTCTAAATCAATTATGTATTCTCCTTTCGGAAACACTTACTCTAGTGTTACCACTCAAATAAGGTGTCTTAACTTTCCCCTCTGTAGTTTAGTTATGCATATAATACTGTTAATACACAATTAAGTCCCTCTGCAACCATCCTATGGTGCTTCTTAAATTCTTTATGTAATTTGCAAAGGGCTATGAGATTACCCTTTTAATCCAAATATTTTAAGATCTTTAATACAAAGAATGTAAAGGTATGACTTAATATCAAGCTTTGAAACCAGATAAAACAGTAAGATTCTCCTCCCAAATAGCATATCTTAATCTTATTTTGTAAATAACTTTTTTCCTTATACTGATCTTACTATATAAGAGTCTCCTTGTGGTGCCTCATTATATGCTGATTTTTTTCTGATGGTCTTCGGAATCCTTTCTTGCAGAATTCACACCTGTGTGGATAGTCTTTTGTATGTATTGAAATCACATGTCGTTTAAAGCCAGATGCATCTGTGGTGCTGTATTCACAATATTCACATTGGTAAATCTTCCTTCCAGTATGCGTCTTCATGTGCTTTTTCAGCTCATTCTGTTGCCTGAACCCTCTCTTGCACCGTTTACACTTCAATGACTGATCCTTAGTATGAACTGAAAGGATATGACCACTAAGAATAAATGGATCTGATGTTTTAAAGTCACAATGCCTACACTGATGAATCTTCCTACCCTTATGAATATCACTATGTTTTTTAAGCTCTGAAGGACGATGGAAACCTTTATCACAGACTTCACATTTGTGAGGAAAGTCCTTGGTATGGACAGATATGATGTGCCGCTTAAGGTCACTTGAGTTGGTGCTCTTATGATCACAATGAGGACATTGGTGTGTTTTATGTCCTTGAAACAAATCCAGATGGCGTTGAAGCTCTCTTTCATCACCAAATGCTTGAGGACAATGCTCACATTTATATGGCAAGTTGCTACCATGCTTAGACTTAATGTGAGTTTTCAGATTTGACTGATCTGCACACCTGAAGACACAATACTGACACTGATATGGCTTCTCACCGGTATGGGTTCTCATATGTTTCTTAAGTTCAGAAGGATGACGAAAACCCTTTCCACACTCAACGCAAACATGAGGGAAATTCTTGCTGTGAACAGCCAGCAAATGTCTGTTTAACAGTCCTTGTTCGGCAGTCTCATAATCACAGTACTTGCACTTGTGCATCTTCGGCTCCTTGTCTCTTAAGATGAGTTTATTTGAACTCAGTGGACTAGCTTCTCTGTATCTTCGAGTGTATTCTGTAAATTCATGGGTTTTATCAACTTTGTTTATGAGCTTATGGCTTTCTAAGTGGTTATGGAAACTCACTTTCTTGTTAGTTGTAAAGTCACAATCTGTACATTGATATTTCTTTCTCATCAAATGATCAGGATGATTCTTCATGTGTCTTTTTAAGAATCCCCTGGATTTAAACTTTTTTGTGCAAATATGGCAAGGGTATACTGTCAAGGGTTGTCCATCAGGCCCTATTATAACAGCTGCATGGGGGAAAAAAAGGAAATTGTGACATTGATCACACTGCTTTAAACTATTTTGTAAAACAGGTTTCTGAAACTAGTTGAAATTCACTATGTGAAAATACTACTTCAATAAAAGCCTTATAAGATAGAAATACTATAAAATTTTTTTAGTAATGTTGCCTACTGAGTAATGAGTGTCTCTCTATTGTAAATTACTCATCTACGGCATGAAATATATTAAAAAGAGGACTAAAACACCTTTATAATTAAACCATATGAAATTTGTCTTTAAAATATCTTTTGAATAAGGAGGAAAAAGCATTTTAAAAGCATCAATCAAGCTGCTAAAATTTAATATCAGAGCTGGAGAAACAGCTTAACAGTTGAGTACACTTGCTGCTCTTGTAGAGGATTTTTGTTTCTCAGCACCCATGTCAGGCTGCATGCAACTGCCTACAACTTCAGTTCTAAGGGATACAACACTCTCTTCTGGCCTCCACAAATACCTGCACACATGTGGTGTACATACACACACACACACACACACACACACACACACACACACACACACACACCCCAAATTAAAATAAATCTTAATATATATGTAGCTATCTATAGAATATACAGGGCTATATGGGGGAATAACTATCTTGCAAACATTGGTTTTCCTCCTTGTATTACATAAATTGTACATCTCAAATGACTATACTATTCACAAAACAGAAGTATCTTACCTGTTTGCCACTGCCTTGTTTCTCCCCTTCTCCTCTTCTTGATTTTTTGTTTAAGTACTTTATTTGTGTTAATGCTATCACAAATTTGAAGGTACTGTGCTGCTGTAGTGCTTCTGTTTTCTAATGCTGAGTCAAAAGTGTTTCCTGAAAACAAAAAGGTAAACTGTTCAATGTATATATTTATAGTTTCAGGGTTTCGTTAGACAAATTAATTGATGTGATATGGTGTTAAGTTATGGTATTAAATTTCAGAAAGTATACACATTTTCTCATTCTCCTTAGTTTAATCCATATCCTCTCGTGTACATGCAAGCACACTGAGTAAGTTAGCACACAAAGTTAAGTTATTTCAACATAACCATCCTAAAGAAATAAACTGGTAAGATTGATGTAACATAAGAAACTTTATTTTAAGAAACTATACAAATTATGTCATCAGACTAACTTATGAATAGAACCTGATAAAATTAAAGGGATTCAGCAAAGAACATACATAACTAAGTGAACCAATATAGTCGTGGTAATTATATGTAAAATAGATGCTACATGTATGTTTTATGATATTAAAGTTATTATTTAGACTGACTTCAGGTATTAAAATAGACATGGCAGGTAATTTGCTACAATTTCAATGTGACCAATGCATACAAAATAAAGTCTTTAATAAAACCAGTTCTCGCAAATCTATCATATCATACAAATACATTGTGATACTTTGAATAAGCATAGCCCCTATAGGCTCATATGTTTGAATATTTGGGTCCCAGTTAGTGGAACTGTTTGGGAAGGATTAAGAGCTGTGGCTTTGTTGGAGGCAGTGTGGCCTTGTAGAAGAAGGTGGGGGTGGACTTTGAGGTTTCAAAACCCCACCCTAAGCACAGTTTATCTCTCTGCTGGCCTCCGCGCCTGTGGATCAGGATGTAAGTTCTCTTCCTCAAGTCTGCCTGCCTGTTTGCCTGCTAGCATGCTTCCTGACATGATGATAACGGACTAATCTGCTGAAATTGTAAGCAAGTCACCAATTAAATGTTTTCTTTAATAAAAGTTGCCTTGATCACAGCTCTTCACAGCAATAGAACTATAACTAAGACATACATTAAAAATTTAAATCTACAAAACTGTCAGACTAGTATATATGCTGACACACACACACACACAATAAATATATATTTCTATTAACTTACATTAAAATTTAGAGTCAAATGTTACTCAGTAGAAGAAACAGAACAATTATATACTTTGTCATAAGAAAAAGTCTCCTTAAGAAAAAGAAACTGATCCACCATGGAATAACACTAGAGGGTGTTAAACTAGAAAAGTTATTAAGCTGGGATATGAATTTATGATATATTCATATTAGATGTTTGCCATAGAAATTAGGAAGGCAGTCTCACTCCAAGAATGACATTAACAAATGGTTGATAAGAACAACTGTTCTTTTTCTCTTCAAGTAATTTGTATAATTTTTTTCTATAGCAACCTTTTATGACCCATGTGGTAAATTCTCTAATATTTGTACCATCAGGGAAATCCAAAATGCTTTTCATTCACAAATTAATACACTTGTATTTATAAATGTTGGTTGTTAAAAAGAGGCAAACTCTTCTATAACTTCTATAATAGGTGAAGTCCAACAAATAAGTCTACAGACATAAGCTAACTTTTTTACTTATCAAGTTGTATATAAAACAAAACAACTTATATCTCCTTTACAATGCTCTCTCACCTGTTGCTTGACAATCTTCATACCTTCGGGAAACTCTTCTTTCATCTATAAGAAGGGACTAGTTATAAACTGATACACTGCCTAGAGAAACTACTACCAGATCACATTTTAACTTATAAACTTTTACTTTTCCCAATTTCTCAATGAAATACATTTTTTATTGAAACTTACATGTTAGATAATATTCTCCACTGAAAATAAGGACTACTCATTAGAACTGATAACATCTAGAACAGTTTTAATTTTAAGTGGAAACTGAGTAGCTATTTCTGCAGAGTACCCTTAGCAATGAAGATGTTCAATAGATGCATGACTGTATTGAATGAATGTTGAATGAATGAAACTTTGAGAAAAACAACTTTGGATAAATTAATGCATTGTTTATCAGAAGCTTTTAATGCATACATTATAGAAAAAAATGAGATTAACAAAAGGCAGAATGGGGTAAGAAAAAAACGATAAGTTAACATATACGCTAGAGAATTTGTTTTTGTCCCAGAACTTCGGTTTTATTATTTGTGTCAACAACTGAAATACGTTTTTGTAAAAGGGAAGGATTAATCTTAAGAAGATACTATTTTAGGAAAATTAAATATCTTATGGTGCTCACTTATACAGGTAGGATTTAGAACAGATCCTTCTAAATGCATTAAGCAAGCTTTAGTAGCATAAGATATGTGATAGAAAAATCATGTAAAATAACTGGAAATGAATTAATTCACAGCAGAATATTTTATTCTATTAGCCAACACACAGTGACATTATAGCACAGAATATTTAATTTCTCAAAGGCATAGTAAATACCTACTTTATGTACTTAGGTAAAAATACTAGTGTCCTACCGTATGATGCAGGATAGACAACAAGGAAACCTGTTTTATTAACATCAGAGATCTCAAGCTGAATCTTAAGGAGTGTTCCTTCCTCTTCCCCTACGATTATTTCCATGTACAGTTCATTTGATATTTCAACATAACCTAAATTTTGGAAATAATTGCTTGTTTACAATCTCAAGTATTTAATAAATGGGCAAAAAATTCTTTAGGTTTTCAAGATTTCATCTTAGTTAATTTCAAAATGCACAAATTTAAATTAAGTTTATATTAGGTATTTTTGAGAGCTAGTACTTCTAGAAGACAATTGTTTTCCCCAAATTATTATCTTCCTGTTATTAGAAACAAGTGCTATGAAACGGCTTCTTTATTTTTCATTCCGACATAAGGTCTTGCTTTGCAGCCAAGGCTGGTCTAAAACTTGCATTCCTATCCACAGCATTCCTACCGCTTCAGCCTTCTGTGTCTTGGGATTACAGCCATGCACCATCATGTCTGGCTCTAAAAAGGACTTTTACATTTACAAACATGTGTGCTTGAAGAGGGTATTACAACCCAGAAGACACTGGAAATTTATAAAAGGAGTGTTATTCCATAAATGTTCCTAAGAGATTTTTTGGAACTCAGAAAATATTTTCCATAAAAATATTGCTACAGAGTAATTTATGCTTTCCTGCACTATTTTGATAGTACCATATGTGTAAAGAATAATGATCAATATGCTAGTTATTGAACAAACTTTTAAAAATGAGTAAAACTATATATATGTAAATACATACATATGTACAAATATAAATATGAAATGCTGTTGCTCAAGAATTAGTAGACCCTCTTCAAGAAGCAGGACTTTTAAGAATACTACACAGAGAGAAAAAAAAAGACATTTAAAGATAATATTGGGGTTAAAAAATTTAAACCTAAAGAAACAATTTACATGCTGTGAAAAACTATTTCTATTTAATGTCATAAATGTGTTATTGAATTCAATTTATGCTTTTACTATGATTCAAAAACTTGGATCTTCTATTTACTATAGAAGAAATGTGTAAATACAGTGAGGTGAAAGGTATCCTCTAGTTTCTCCTCTTTAAAAACCACAAGATACTGGACTAAGTTTTCCACATTCCTTCCGAATTCTGGCATTAGCTAAACCTATGCCTCAGTTTCCCATCTCCTACCATGCCTCTTCCTCAGGAAGTTAAAAATAATAAGATTTAGAGATGAAACAAACATTATTTCAATTAACGTTTTCTGTCCCTATTCAAATACTCTCCCTGAATGTTTTGATAGTTTCAGCTGGGATATGGGGGTAGACAGCTCTCTATGTTTGCTAGACAAAGATTTGAGGAGTAGTTATTAGAGTGTAGTATAAATAGAACATAGCACTATCATGGTATTTCTGTGAAAAGGAGGCTCTTGCCCTTCTGTGATAAAACAAAATAGTGTTTTGTCAGCATGGAAATGAGAAAGATGTAGCCTGAGCGAAAGACTGCATAATGAGATGAAGACCATGTAGGAAAAGAATAAAATGTCTTAATGAAAAATAAACAACAAAAAGTGTGAGACATGACAAAGAAAGCAAATCTGAATAGAGAGTTTATCCTGTGGTCCTCACTCCCAAGAAACCCTAATAACAATTACCCATGAACAGCATAATAAATTAATAAGATCCTGGCAGAATGGCTTGTGTAAATACTTACCCACCTAACCTCTCAGTGACAGGAGATCAACCAGTTAGCCCTTCCACTGCTAAATCCAGATAGGCCAAAAGTGATTACTGCCATGTGGAGAAAACACTGGCAGTAGAGTTAGACAATGATTCAAATTCTAGTACTGTACAAATCTTAGGCAACTTATTTTCTCTGAGCCTTTATTTGTCTTATAAAACAGGAATATTTTCTACCTCAGAGATGAATTATTAAAGGTAAATGAAATTAAATAGATCTAAAGATTTTTTTTTAATTTATGTGTGTATATTCCAATGTGAGCTTATGTGCAGTACATGTGTGCTTGGACTCATATAAGCCAGAAAAGGGTGTTGGATCCCCTGGAACTGGAGTTACAGGTGGTTATAATCTGCCAGACATAGGAACTGAAAATGAACCTGGGTCCTTTGCAAGAATAGTGAGTGCTTTTAACTACTGAACCACCTCTCCAGCCCCAATTAAACAGATGTAATTATATAGACATAATGTATAATATATGATTCAATTTCTATATATTTGTGAACTTCATTACATCAAAAACAATAAATTCTTCATCTTTTGTAACATAGTATTTGAAATGTAGAGTTCATGTATCCTTTTCTGAGTAATGTATTGGTTCAGGAATGTCTAAAAGGACTCTTTCTTTTAAATATTTGAAATAAATGGCTTTTGTTTGTTTGTTTGGTTTTTTGAGACAGGGTTTCTCTGTGTAGCTTTGGAGCCTGTCCTGGATCTCACTCTGTAGACCAGGCTGACCTTAAACTCACAGAGATCCACCTGCCTCTGCCTCCCGAGTGCTGGGATCAAAGGCGTGCGCCACCACTGCCCAGCCAGAAATGGCTTATTTTTTATTTATTTATTTATTTATTTTTTTTTTTTGGTTTTTCGAGACAGGGTTTCTCTGTGTAGCTTTGCGCCTTTCCTGGGACTCACTTGGTAGCCCAGGCTGGCCTCGAACTCACAGAGATCCGCCTGGCTCTGCCTCCCGAGTGCTGGGATTAAAGGCGTGCGCCACCACCGCCCGGCATGGCTTATTTTTTAAACTTTGTTCTTATTTAGTACATCTATTGTTATCAATTGCTTTTAAAGTTTTATCATTGCTTCTTTGCAGTGCCCTTTTATCTTACTGATATCATCCTCTTCTTGGGAAGAATCTTTAACTGCCATGTAAACCATTTTCTCTCGCTGCATTCGGCTCTGGTCAAGCACGCCAGCTACAGAATGTCCACTGGTATATTCACTCTCTGTGACAATTTCTGTCCCACCTTAAAAATTAAAACACATGTAAACTAGAAACACATCATGGAATAAATCCCTGTAATAATGAGGAGGATATAGAGGGTGTATAAAAATTCTAATAAACTTCAAAATACATTAATATATTCATGTAAATTTTACCATAAACATTCATCTCTCATTTCAGGTGTTAACATTTGTGTCACACTTATATGCCAAGCACTATAAAAATTTTATATATATTTACCCATTTTGTTTTCATAAAAATCCTATTAGGTAGTCATGATCATTACGGCCGTCATAGGAAACAAAGCAGAAGGAGATCAGACAAGCCATTGAAGGTATCTCAAAATACCTGCCTCTGTCATCAATGCTATTAAATACTCATCATAACCCTTAATCTAATCCCAATTATTTTCACCTGTTTTAAAATTTTCTGCCATAATAGTTTCATATTGAAAAGAATCTAAAAATGACATAGTCCCCATTCCCACTTCATATGTAGATATTCATATAGAGCTTTAGAAATATACTAAGAAGCCTATGAACATTTTTGTCTTTTGAGAATTTTGGAACAATCCCCATGAAAGATAAGAATTCTAATGTCTCTCATATCATGGAATTAAAATATCTTTGTACCTATTTCAACATCATCTTCAGCCTCTGCTTTAAATATATACACTTTTATCACTTCTGAACCAAATCCATCTTCTTTAACATCTTCTTGTGAGCCATCACTACCGATTTTCAATGGTGTGTTCCCCATATGCTCTAACTTCTCTCCCACATCATCCACTGCAAAATATAAAGGAAACGATTTCAGTCAAAAAGTACCTCTGGCATTTAATAAGAATTAAGCATAATGGCAAAATAAAATATTTTAACCACCTACCCACTATATTCCCTTAGTGACCTATTATGCAGTCACTAAAAATGCTATGTTTCATGATACCAATACTCAAGATAGCTATATCAAAGGATCAAATTACATAAAAATATTTAAAATTACATATTACCCAAAACATGCTTCTGTATTAAAAGTATTGAAATTTAAAATAGCAAGCATGTGTTTAGGTAGGCCATATTTCTTGAATACGACTTATGATTTTGGCAGTTTATGAATATCTACTCACTGCAGTTCATATATAATGCTCCTGTGATATTGTTATCCTTAAAACTATAGAGAATACAAGTTTAACATAAATATAAGTGGTGACTTCAAATACTGTGCCGTTACCTTTTCATATATGATGTTCTTATATTCAATGAATCATCAGGCTTTAGATGAGAAAATTGGGGTAGTATCTACTTAGGTATTTGCTTCACATGTAATTATGAAATAAAGCATAGACTGCATTTTAAGTAAAATCCTATCCAAAATATGTAACAAAAAAAATACATGAGTTATAAGTTCACATGAACAAATCCTAAACTAAAAAGCAGTTGTTTCTAAAACTAATTAATTTATCAAATTAATTATTTTAAACAATGAAATAGAACATATCCAAATGATTTTAATAAAAAGGACTTTTCATAAATCATCATGAAAATATTATCTAAGAGCTCAAATATGGGTTGAGGCATTAAAGATAATTTCAAAACACAAATTTTGTGTGTCTAAGTATATGCTTTGTTTTAAAATCAGAAATAAAGATAATACATAACTGCATGATACTTTTTCCTTATTAAAAACCTGATGCTTCAGAGTATATGAAAAAAACCAGACAGAAAGGCAAAGCAACCACAGTTGAGACTACTACTAAAGATTTTCAATATATATGTACAATTTTATTCTGTTCTACAGTTTCTGAGGAAGACACAACATGTCACATGAATACTCTATATGAACTATGAAATATAAATTCTATTAATAATCTTAAAGCAGCTGTAAGTCATATTCAAGCAATATATTCTCTAAATATTATGTCTCTACCATATTAATTTCAATCCTGTTCCTATAAAAACTGAAGAATAATCTAAACCAAAATTGTGCCCTTACAGATTTCAGAATACCACATATGAAACATAAAATACTGAAGCCCTTGAATATATCTAATAATTTTAGAACTATGGAAAAGAGAATAAAATGCATTAAAGAGCTATAACCTTGGTACTTCTTAAAAATTCAGGCAGATCTAAATGAATCAAAATCTACATTTTCCGGAATTCAGTGTCAAGTTTGATGTCATCAAAAACGTTGTTTTGTTCGTATGAAATGGAAAACAAGGAATGCACTTCACAAATTATTTAACACTGAAAAGCTATTTTATCTTCTTGTTTAAATATAAATAATTTCATTCTATTTAAAAGTTTGAATATACTATTGCTAATGAAAGATAGCACTCAAATGACATAAGAATGATCTAAATATTTCTGTTCCACCATAGCTCCTAATCATATTTACTGTATTTTTAGCAATTCTGGGGTTACAATGTCATGAATTAAGATGATGAGCTATATGTTATCTGTTTAATAGTTTTTCTTATAAATAGCAAATAAAATGATTAGATCATAGAAACAATAAGTTAACTTTTAAGGAAAAAGCTCTTGTTCATTCATGGATTTGAAAATGGGATTTATAGAAAACTTTTTAAAAGTCAAAAATACAAATTTTGGAAGCTGGAATATTTGAAAATTGTTAAAAATAAGAAAATACTCTTGCTTGAAAATATGTCATTATTACACATAAATGGATTAAGTGACCATAGAACACACTAATTTAATATACCCTCACCACTTTTTCTGTTAGCATTATTTCTGATTTCACTTCTACTTAAAAAAACTTCATACGCTTAATATTTAATGTACCCATTGATTCCTGCCTAGATTAAGCATCTCAGAATGAACAATTTTGAAATGTATAAAGCAACTGAGTTTGTTCTGTATTTTTAGCCCATAAATGATAGTTATTTTTAAAACTGGTATGAACTTTGAAGAGGTTAGCCATCAGCTTTACTAATATTTATTCTATATTCTTAGTTACAGAAAATACATTGACAAAGTTCTACTAGGAAACAAAATGACTTTAAGAAATAAATTCTCACATATTTTTTTCTTCCCATTTTTAGGATATAGGACTGCTTCTATGTAGCCCAAGCTTGAAAACTATGTAAGCCTTCCATGTAGGCCTGGATCTTGCTAACTTCCTACCTTGACTCTCCAGTACTGAGATTATAGGAATGCGCCACCACTTGTCTTTCAGTGACTGTTCTTAACATAGATCCAAATTGAATACTTAAAAGATTCAAGCTTAAATTTGTTTGGCTATTTTAAGGCATACAGCACATTATTGTTTCTGAACCCACCTTTAAGTGAGCAATATAACATCCCTACAAAATTCTATTAGCATTAAAGACAAGAACATAAGTAAGGTACATTGTTTGCTAGCACTGAAAAGGCTAGAAGTATTCAATATTCTTTTGTAGATCACTGGCACAATTTGATTAAAATTCCATTTTACCACAATATACAGTGTAATACTCATTTTTAAAAATTGATTAAAATATAATTACATTATTTCCCTCATCTCTGTCTCCCATGCCCTCTTCACACCTCCCCAAATTGATGGCCTCCTTTTTAAAGCCACAAGGCTATTGAGTTTACCGCTGATAGGTACATCAATAAAATTATGATTACCTATAAAACATGATGTTTAAACTTTCTAGCACTTTAATACTGGTTTAATTTAATGAGTAATTTTTGAATGCATACTGCACTTATTTTAATATAGAGAAACTAATACATTTTCCTATACCATCTTATATGATGGTCGTTGCTTTTCACGTCAAGTTAGTATTTAAATATGGAGTTGCCCCAATAAGCCACATACATGCATGAATACGTAATATCATTCCCACAATCTTAATAGTGCACCTCATTCTCTTAAAGAAAATGTAAGTATTTACTGGCAAATTATTTCCAGGTTGGGCATGATAGCAATGCCAGCACCTGTTATGTCTTTAAAAAGCAGTAATTACATAATTTACTCATTTTGAAATACAAATTTATCATTGAAATTTTGTATGAGTTAATGTTTCTATTGAGCCTTTCAAACACACATTTCCATTCTAAGACATCAGTTGGCCTTTTCATTTTTACTTTGGTGTGCTATTTCAGAGTATATTAAAAATACAGGTAGAGTATATTAAAAATATAAGTAAACTCAAAAAGTATCTCAACACTACAGCTTTGAAATTATTTTCAAATGATTCCTTCTATTGCTTTTATGAAATATATCCTTGATCCCAGAATACCTTCCAGATTATAGAAATTAATCTCCCAAGTAATGGACTTTATGTTTCACTTACAAGATATCATTAAGTAGTCTTCAGAAGTGCTCTTGACATCATCATCATCATCATCATCTTCAGTTTTTATTGTAACAGTAGAACCAGGAACACCACCAGCTGCTTGAATTACAGTTTCTGTATCTGAATTAGTTACAAGAACTTCTTCTGATACCATTGTGGGAGAGTCAACACCTGAAACACAATCTTGGACCACATGTCCCAAATGTCCATCAGGACCAGTAACAAGATCAGCTACAAAAACCTGCTCTGGTACCCTAACGGTTTCTGTAATTAGTTCAGAAGTCAAGATATGATCTCCATCATCTTCCTCTAAATCTTCTTCAATGGCAACATCAGCTTCAAGTACAGCTTCAGGGACAATCACACCTTCTGTTACTACATCAGTTTCTGTAATAATATCAGGCCCATGGACAACTTCCGCTGCAAGGCCATGATCAAGAGTTATCCCATCATCTGTGACAACATCAGAAACTAATACAGCTTCAGGAACTGAAACAACAATATGGTCTCCATCGATATGTGCAGTACCAGCCATTCCAGCCACTACAATACAAACAATTATTCAAAAAAGGGTAAAGTTATTTTATTAATAAAATATATTTAATAAATATCTACTACAAAATAATTAAAATATTATTATATGTCTTGATAAATGTATATATATAATTTAAGAAGCATTGTTGGTAATTTAACTGTAATAAAAAATCGTCACTGATTAGCAACTGGGTTAGATACCAGTGTAAAGAAGAAAAAAAAATCTAAGTTAAGATCTTAAAAGTAATTTACTGTTATTTAAAAGCAAAAAGCTATAAGACAGCAAAACATTAAAATTAAAATAACTAAAATAAAAAACAACGCTGATGAAGACAGAGAAAATGTATGTTTTATATATTTGGGGGAATGTAAACTGTTAGCAGTCATTCAGAAAAATAGTTTGGCAGTTTCTGACAAAACTAAATATTCATTTTTTATACAAAGCAACAATTGTACTCTAGGACATTTCTCCCCAGAAAATGTAAAACATGTTTACACAGAAACTATACTTCAATGTTCATAGTAGTTCATAGCAGTTATTACTCATAATAGTAAAAAAATAAACACTATCCAAATATTAATCCATCAGCAGATAAATGTGTGGTTAAATCAATCCTGGCACATCCTTACCACAGAACAATACTTAGTCATAAATAGGAATAAGGTACTGATATAACCAACAACCAGAATAAATCTCCAGAAATTTATCCTGACTTGGACCTGCTACTCAAAATCAAGAAAATAAATGACAGATGTGGATCCATCCTTAAACAATTCCCTTAAATCACCCCTCCAAAGGCTAAGAAGACATTAAAGAAGAGGTAAAGATGTCTGTAAGAACTAAAGAAAGGGTGAAGGTAACAGTAGTTACCTGCATTTTCCCCCACAAGACCAGTCCTATCAACAGTCAAAGAAGGGAGAAGGGGGTCACAGGGATCTATCCTTGACCTGTGAACTATTGGCTATATTTGAGAGGGAAATCACTGTCTTTACTTGTATAACCTCTACTGAGCCCACCAGGCTCCAAAGGATAGCTCTACACCCCACCGCACAATGGCCCTGAATAATCTTTGTGAGTCACAAAGTGAAATGAAGAATGAACATGAGAAATAAATTTGTTGGGGGGAAGAGTGGGTGGTAGGCAGTAGGAGGTAAAAGTAGTCAAAATGCAAGGTATACACATGTAAAATTTAAAAAAGGAACAAATGAAAAAATTTAAAATTCACAAATGAATGTATGCCCAAAAGATAGAAAAAAGAACAAGGTATATGGTTTTAGATAACAGGAATTACCTAAAACTTTAATTTTCTGGGTTTGGTATTGTACTATTGATAAATAGAATACCAGCATTGGGGGGGGGGGATGAATAAAAGGTATATAAGACCTTACTACACTAATTTTTCTTACTTCCTATGACTATATATTTCTTGAAAAAAATGAAAGCAAAATGAGAAACACAAAGGGATACTGTTACGAGTTAATACTACATTATATCACAAAACATATAACCATAGAATTCCCAAGAAATTCTTTAACTTAAAGGAATTGCTATCCAAAACCTTAGAATCTTTTAACACCTGATTTAGGAGAAAAGAATCTTAATTCATACTAGACTAAGATTTAGCCTGATAATATTAATAAGTTTGCAACAGGGAGAAAACTTTAATTTTGCTCTTGAGAAGCATAGTAAGCACCAACTCCCACTTCCATTGTAAATACTGAAAGAGAGTAAACTCTCTTCATGAGCAATTTTCAGTTTAGCCACGCTGAGGTGGTACAGTAAATTAAGAGTTTGTGGGTCTACTTATAATGTATGATGCAGTAGATAGCCTTTTTAACATAACAATCACTTTCCTTTAAAGTACTATCTGAAAGAATGTAAAGGGAGACACTAGTAAAGATATACAATGCTCACTATTTATAATCAATTCATCAGGATATTAGTTAAAGCTGGAAACCAGTTTCTACCAGCAATGATAAAAAGCTAAGAATGAAAAGAAAGCTGATTTTTCAACAGAGGTCTTGGGATCATTATTATTGTACTGATTTTTGAAGCAGGGCCCCATGCAGTTCAAGCTGGTCTCAAACTGGCTATGTAGTCAAGGGTGACCTGGAACTCGTGATTGACCTGACTCTGCCTCGGGAGGCTATGAAGTCAAGGGTGACCTGGAACTCGTGATTGACCTGACTCTGCCTCGGGAGTTCTGGAATTACAGGCACATGCCAACACACCCATCCTCCCTTTCAACTATTCTAAATCCATCTCAACATTCTTCAATTTTCACCTAAAACCTAAATTACATCAAAAGAGCATAACAGACATACCAAAATAGACACAAAGGGTCAACCCTACACAAGGAGCTACCTGCAACTAAGGAATGTTCAGAGTGGGAGAAATAGTCTTTAAAATGTCATTAATTCAGATACACATAAGTAGTATTTATTATGAATTAATAATGCCTCAAGCAATCTTATACTATGTGTGTGTGAGATGAAGCATATACATACATATACATACATACAATCTCGTTTAATCCTCAAAATAATGTGAGTGTTATCTCCATCTTACATGTGAAGAAAAAATGTTTTTTCTTTAAAAACTGTATTTATTCTTGTTGTGCATACAAAATCTGGGTAGATTTTTTTGTGGAATTGGTTCTCGCCTTTAACCAGGAATTGAAGTCAGGTTGTTGTTAGGCTTTCATGGAGAGCACTTTACTCGCTAAACCATCCAGCTAGCCCCCCAAAACTATATTATAGAGAGGTTGGCTGTATTCATTCTTTGACTCAGGGTTGTAATATTATTTTCTTCTTCTTCTACTCTCCTAGGAGGAAAAGTTGTTTCTTATCCTAGATAAGTTTTAAAAGAGAGATTTATAAAATTAAGGAAATAGGGCATTACCACAGTAATATTTTGAGAAGAATTAAAAGAGCTATCACATAGAAACTCATTTAAATATTATTTAAAAAATTTATTAAGCAGCACCTAATGACATAGAGAATTTATCTTACTAGTTAAAAAATTTACAAATGATAAACAATCATCTTTCAAATGTGAACCAATGAGATAAATATGTAACAATAAACAGTAAATTCTGACAAAATATTTTCCATTTTATGAGAATTTGTTCAAAGGTTATATGGCACCCCATTAGAGTTATAGCAAAAAATCTTTCTTAACAGTCTGTCTTGGACTAGTATCTAAGGCCATTTTGCTATTTAAGTTTCAAAGCAACACTTACCTTTGCAACACTAAAATCTTAAACAACTATTAAACTCAATGCCACTGACTGTAAGGACAATCACTGTACTCAAACATCAGCAAAAATATTATATGACACAATATTGTAAAATTTTAAATCTTAATCATCCTTCAAAAGAAATTGATCTCATAGCTTCTAAATTAGTTCTTCCAATTTTTTATACAATATTCATCCCATAGTCTCAAATGAGAACCTTTCAGAATTTACATGGCTGAATAACTTCAAAAATTTCAAAATCTATTTACTAAGGACAATTGGAAACCTAACATATTATAGGACAGAACCATCACAAACCGTAAATCCATAAATGAGTAAACATACTCATATTAGCAATTCTTGATTTCACTATAATTAAGAGTAACAATATTGCCACAATATAAAAATTCAGTTGGCACTGATTTACCCATTTCAATTTAAGTGATCATGAAAATGGAATTTAAAATAACTTATTATTTCAAAAACACAACTAAGCTGTTTGAATCATAAATAGGTTTATAACAAAAAGTAGCTCTCTACTTTTTTCTGACATAAAATATTTACATTAGTTCACTTTAGAGAAGCCTTCAGATAACTATGACAATGCCAACTAAAATTGGAAGTAGGTCTCAAACTTTCCCATCCTCTTACTCCTTCCTTGAACAACACAGGATATACCAAATGAAAACTTTTCTTTCAGCCATAATGTGACCACCTATAACATATCAATTGGTAATAAAAGAGGAGTTATATGTTTGTATGTGCAGTAACATAAATAACACATGAAAATGTGTTAAAGTAAAAAGAGGCCATGCATGAAAGGCCATATATTACATGATTGTATTTATAGGAATTTTTCAGAATAGGTAAATCCATAAATTGAATTACTGGTTGTTAAGAACTGGTGGAAACAGAAAGGATAGGCAATAACTACTAATAACTATGAGGGCTTTTATTTAATTTTTATATTTAAAAATTTTGAGATAAATTTTAGGATAACAAATTCCTGAAAATTAAACTGGTGATGACTGTATAATTCTCTAATTGTACTAAAATATGGAATTATAAACTTTAAAATAGGGTCTGAAGAGATGGCTCAGCAGTTGAGAACACCTACTGTTCTTCCTTAGGGCCTGAGTTCAGTCCTAGCAAGCACTTTCAGTGGCTTATAACTGCCTGTAACACCAGCTCCAAGGGATCTGATGCCCTCTTCTGACTTTCACAGGTACCAACATACATGTGGCATACATGCACACACACACATATACATACAAATAAAAATAACTACTTTAAAAATTAACTTTAAAAGGGGTAGACAGTATAGCATATGAATTTTATCTCAATGAAAAAGAAAAAATATTTGTATAAAAGTAATTCAATATGTAGCTCCTATTTCCCAGCATCTAAAAGTAAATAAAATATTACATATAAGAAAACCTCAACATACTGAGGAGGTTACAAAGTTGACATCTAAAATGAAAGTGTGTTTAGTATATTGAAATTCAAGTACCCCTCTAGTCTATAACCTAAACTGAAACATAAGTGGTTTTAGCATTTTAAAGCTTATGAACTCCCCAGCCAAGATTTTTAAGGACAAAAAAATAAATCTATCTTTAACTTTATTTCCTTTCTTCTATAGTTTTTCCTGTGTCACTTCTTTCATTACTGTGATTTAAACACGAGAGGAAAATTTAAAAGATTCATTTTGGCTCACAGTTTCAGAGATTTCAGCCTGTTTCCATTGCTTTGGGACCCAAGTGGGAGAGGCTGAATGTCATGGCAGGGAGCATGTAGTAGAGCAAAGCAGCTAACCTCATGGAGAAAAGGAAGCAGAAGGAGACTATGCCTGTGGTAGCTGGCATTCTCCACTCTTCCTATTTTATTGCATCTAGGCCCCTAGTATGTTGGATGATGATGCCTATATGTAAGGTGAGTTTTTCCTCTTATTTAATCCTGTGTAAAAAAAAAAAACACCCTAATAGACATAACCAAACATGTGCTTTAATAACTTTTTAAAATCCTCACACCAATCAATTCACTATCACAATTCTTGTACTTTTTCACTCACCCCAAATCATTTCGAAATTATGCATAAACAACAAAGCTCACTCATCTTTCAGGAGAATAAATCCATGAGTCCTTTATATATCACTTTAACTATCATCTCAGTCCTTACGAAATTCAACCTTGAGGTAACCAGCTGTATTTATCTGACAAATGCCAAAGAATTACAGACCTCCTCATTATAAAAGTAGATCCATAATTCAGCCAAGTTTATAACCTAGAGAACACCACTGTCAAGACTAGAATACAGTTCCTCTAATTCTTATTACTGTGAACTTTAAAATGGCATATTAAGCCATACTGAGAATAGTAGTAGTATTTTCTTAGTCAAGCAAAGTATCATTAGTTCTAGTCCCCCATCACTGATTTCAGCTTCATCAATTCCACATGACCCTATGGGGCCTGTGTCCTTCTTACAACCATTTATTATTTCTGTTTTCTACTTTTATTCCTATATCATCTTCAATTCTTTTTTTTTTTCTTTTTTTTTTTTTTTTTTGGTTTTTCGAGACAGGGTTTCTCTGTGTAGCTTTGCGCCTTTCCTGGAACTCACTTGGTAGCCCAGGTTGGCCTTGAACTCACAGAGATCCGCCTGGCTCTGCCTCCCGAGTGCTGGGATTAAAGGCGTGCGCCACCAACGCCCGGCCATCTTCAATTCTTAAGATCCCATTCCTGCCTCTTTTAATTTGGATACCACTATCTCCTCTAAAATTCAGACTAATCTTCCCAAAATTTAGTTCCTTTCTAGACAATCAATGCAGTCTTAATATATTCATAAAAATGATTACTATTTTAAAGCTATTGAAAAAGTTGGACATAGAATTAAGGAATTTTTTATTAGGGAAAAGGTAGTGGACTGTAGAAATTTCTCAGAGGTTAGAGTGTTTTCTGCCCTCTTAGAGGACCTGAGTTCAGTTCCAAGTATCCATGTCAGACAGCTCAGAGCCACCCATAACTCTGGCGCCAGGAGATGCAATGCTTGCTTTTGGAGTCTGTGGGCACCTACACACATGCAGCACACACACATATGAATCTTTTTAAAAAGAAGTGTATTTTATTAGTAACAGCCTTGAGGAAATGATATCTGAACATAATTACCAAATACATGACTTACCTTTATCTCTTTATAATCATCTTAATCCTTTGTTTTGATAGAAGCATTCCCTTTCTAGCTTTATGAACAATACAACTTAAAATGTATTTTAGAAAGCTGATTTAACATTTTCTACATCTGAAAACTAATATATACTATCCCACAACTTGATGCAATTCAGCACTCATGCATAGTGAGTTTTTCATTTTTAGTAAAATATTATCTTTATATCTCAAGTTTCTTTATTTCAAACTTCTAACAAATTATATGATCTTAAATATACTGTTTACATATGCCTTTAAGAAAATAAGCTGTACAATTTGATTTTCCTAGTAAAGGAATATTTCAGTGTAATTCTACTTCCTTGTTTATTTTTAATATATTCATACTTTACAAACATAAAGTACAACAAAGAAAATGCTTTACCAAAATCCTGCATAATCATGGTATGGGCCATTCTAGCGTCTGAAGTGTGCAATCCAAGACTTCCACCACCTGAATCCATACTTAACAAAGTTCATTCACAAATATCTGTAAAATAAATGGTTTGAAAAATAGTTTAGATACATTTATCTCCAAGTCAGGTGTTTTGAGAAAAATACAATAGAAAATATGCCTTACAACCAGGTATGCAAAGCTCATTACAAAAGAAAAGAAAAACCCAAAACTGCTTAGATGCTTTATGTGAGAACCATACATAAAAGAGGCAGGTGGAAGTAAAGCCAAGATAACGGAAAATGAGCCACAGTTATGGTGATGAGCCATTGGAACGTGATAAAAAACAAGCAAAAGAACAAAACTGCAAGACTGAGGTCCAGTTAAAATATACGTAATAAATAAAAATAAGATGATGACAGATTAATAGTTGGGATGTTTATACATTACTAGAGGACTCAGATGTCTAGTATTAGTGAATGGCATCCAGTAGCTCTCATCCATTTCTTCCAGACCCAGATCAGCCCTGCAGCGGAGCTCTGTGGATATTGTATTCACCTCTGGCTCCTGGGGCTCTACTTATAATGCAAAATGTTCTATCACAAGTTTCCCCGGAGTTCTTTGAACCAGTAAGGACTTCTGGCCTCACTCTACTACATTCTCTTGTCTCACAGTTTTGAGGAATCATGAAACATGACTGCTTCCTAAATATGGTAAAGATAAGATCAATCACATACAAACATTTAGCATTGTCTCTTTAAGCATATCATTTGCTTGCAATTGTTCAACTTATATTTTCCAGTAATGATTTATAAAATCACGCTATTCTATGGAAGTTTTTAAAGCAATAGCTCAACCTGTTTCATTTCCTATATTAAGACAATCAGACAACATGAAACAGAAAGCCAGATGTTTTCACTCCATGTAATACTTATAATTGCATATGTGCATTGCCCTAGCAACAAAAGATTCTAACCAAACAACCAAAATTGTGTGAATTTTAAAAGGTATTTATCTTATTTTCATTCAGAAGTGCTTGTTAAATTGAACCATATCACACAAAGGTTATGTCATTAATGAAAATTTTAGAACGATACCACACAAACAAAATAAGTACTGGGTATGGCTAAGCTTTTTTCCTCTGCTGTAAAGTCCTATAGCTACCAAACAGGCAGAAGAATCTTGAAGACAAACTCCTTATTAAACATTTGAATTGTATGCTTTGTACGCAAAAATATTCTATATATCAGTGGGTAATTATTTCCAGGTACCAAAATTATTAGGTAAAGTATGTGGGAACAAAATTAGATATTTGGGAGGACTTCCTAGCTATATTTTGCCTTTCTTTCAAATTAGTATGTTTTGTCTTGCTGTATCCAAGATAAGGACAAAAGGCCAATAGAGTTCCCCATAAATTACCTGTCTATCCATACATTTAAATAAAAATGCCATAAAAATTTATTTTTGACACTTAAAAATATACTTTGTGGACTTCAATTATCATTTGCTTTCTTTATCAGATAACTAATACGACAATTACAAATGTCACTCTATGGTTTAAATTTTTATAATTACTAAAGAAAAGAGTAAGCAATTTGTTAATCACCTTTATACAAGTGGGTTGAAGAAACTGTAGATTTCCTTACAGATTGTAAGGTGAATTTTGCAAAATTTCTGTTTATTTTTCTCCTTCAAAACAATGCATTTTCTTTGGGAAAATGTTCTTTACCTACTATGAAAATACAAATTAGATACTTCAAGACATTTTTAAACAAATCTCTTACACAACTTAAGAATGTTTTTCTCTACTCTTCAACTTGTAGGGTGAGGTTGCGAAAGCTCACGTGCTCAAATCTGTGTGTGTGTGTAAAAAGCAGCCAGAGGGACACCACCAGACCCCTCCCCCAAATTCCACAATATAAAAAATATTACATTTAGAATTCTACTGCTTAAGCAAAAATCTTCTTTAAATCGGATTTTTATAACACATTAATTTGGAAAGTAAGGAACAACCAAGGGCAAGGTGTATTTTTGCCAAATCCATACAGAAAAATCTGCTCTAGCACTCAATGAAGTGTGAAAATTACAACATACAGGGCAAATATTATGGAAAGTACCACACTGTATAAATAGCAAAGAAATAAAGTGCAATACTTTTTCACATATAGGAAGTTTCAATAAGATCAATAATAAATAATGTAAGGGAACAGCAGTATGGTATTTAATAACCAATAGGTAGCCAAGCTACTCCGTCTTCTCAAGAGTGTACCCCACATGCTTATCGAACCGAGATAAACCAAGCAACTATGTTTCAAGTAAACATCCTTCTATCAATGCACGGGAAGCAGAAAACACAAAAATCAAATTCTGTTCTCATCTGTCTCTTCTAAACAACTCGTTCAGGGGCAAGCTTCTCCATGATGTCAACAGGGCGAGGGATAGAAGAGAAACGGTAAGGGCGGCTGAGCCAGAGAATGGGAAAGTAGTATTTGCAGAGATAGACAAAGGAGCCCTGGCAAGTAGCAATATTGCAGCTTTGGACGCAGCACTCTTCCCGCAGAAGTCTCCCTTTCCCACGACCGTGCCAAGTTTCAATCATTGCCAGCAGAACGCACACACGTGCCCTCTGCGATGTCGCCCCGAGACTGATGTTCCAGCGACCAAGAACAAGAGAGCCTTGGCAGCGGAGAGGCGAGCCCCGAGCGAGGAGGAGTCGTGTCCCCCCCCCCGCGTCGCCCTCCCCGCTCTCCCGCGGCGCAGCGGTCACGGGCGCTGCCCCCACCCCGCGCCGCCCCTCGCTCCCGCGGCCCCGCCGCCGCCGCCGTACGTGGGAGCCCCGCCGCCAAGCAAAATGGTGGTGTCGGAGGCGAGGCGACGGCTGCCGCACACACGGCACCCCCCCTCCTCCCCCCCCCCCCCAGCCCGGCTCTGACGGCTCTGGCTCCCGGCTCCCTCCCACGCCCGGCCCCGGGCCACTTCCCTGGCCGAGCCCGCTCGCCCTCGGGCGTGTGCCGAAGGCTCCTGTCAGCCGCGGCCGCCCGCGAGCCAGCGAGCGAGCAAAACGCCGCGCCGCGGGGCGCGGGCGAGCGGATCCTGGAGGTGGTGGTGGTGGTGGTGTGTGTGTGTGTGTGGGGGGGGGGTCGCTAAGAGAAAAATGCCAAGGGGACGCCGCACTCTCCACCGTTTTGTTTTCCGCCATTTTCCTGTCACCCTAAACCACCGACGGCCCAAACGACGGCTCGAGCTTCCCCCCCCCCGCCGCGGGGGGGGGGGGGCTCCGGCCTAGGAGAGGAGGGGGCTGGCCGAGGAGGAGACCCTCACTTCCCCGAGGGTTCTCCCGCCCCAGATCGGCGGCGGCGGCGGAGGAAGCCGGGACTCCTCTGGCGGCTAAGGGGAAAGCTCGGGGACTAGACGCCACTTCCATTGTTCCCTTCGCCCTCCCCGAGACGCTGGGTGGGAGCCTCTCCCCTTCACGGAGCCACGCTGAGCGTGGCAGAGCCGACGCTCGCGAGTTTCTCCTCAGGAGTCCCCTTACCTGTCACCGCCGCCGCCGCCGCCGCGGGGCCGCAGCCGCCACCGCCTTCCCCGCCGCCAGTCAGACGGAGGCCGCGCTCTCAAGTGCCGCGGGGGGCGGCAGCTGTGGACCTGGAAGGTCCTAGCTTTCGGGTTTCCGAGGTTCCGCAGCCCGAGCCAATCACAGGCTACTCTGCGTCTGGGAGGCGCGCCGCCTCGTCCTGCTTTATAGCGCTCCTACATGCTGAGGTTGCATTACGTCACGCAACCCTTGCTGCAGGGTAGGGGGCCAAAGGGGGAAGGCGCGCACGCGCGCGCGACGCCGACCGTGGAGCCCGCGCTGGGTTTGTGCTCGGAGACCCCGCGGACTCGCAGCGAGGGCTGCGCCGCCGCCGCCGCCGGTGCAGTCCGAGTGCGCAAGCTCGGGGCTTGGGACGTCCCCGAGGAGTTTCCGTGGGAAGATTTTGTTTTCTAGGTTTCCCAAATGGGAAGGAGGGAAAAGCAGATTAAGCACTCGCTGAACGTCCAGTCGATGTTGCTTGCCATTTAAAAATGTGTGTGTGTGTGTGTGTGTGTGTGTGTGTGTGTGTGTGTGTGTGTGTGTGTGTGTGTGTGTGTGTCTGTGTGTGTGTGTCTGTGTGTGTGTGTGTGTGTGTATGTGTGTGTGTCTCTCTGTGTGTGTACATTCTACCCTGAATCTACCCTGGAGGACCTAAAACAAATTAGGCTGACCACAGAGATGTTGCCTCTCCACCAATAAAACCTATATTTGTTTTGCAGCCTCCCTCCGTTTCTCCATTCCGTGCCTTTGATAATGGAGATAATTTGAGGAAGAAAGTAAAATGAAATGAAATTAAATAAAAAATTAAAAACACAGTTTTAAAAATGGAAGAAAAGGGTAGACACGAGAACTAAATGAAATGAACACTAAATAATTCCTGAATGTGACACTTTTAGCTTCTGTCTGCAGAAAGGTGAAAAATTCGATGGGAATGCAAGAAAAAGTGATGAAATGTGGCAGAAAAGGAGATATGAACCAGGCTGTAATTTTAACATGCCTTATGTGCTGAGAATTAAGCCTTAATAGTATGCTCATTCAGAATCTATAGCACTGTTTAAACAGGGAGCAGATATGTTCCTTTGTGAAAGAGGAAACGGTAACTCACTATTATTGAGTAAATAATTAGAATATGTAAAAACAAAGGATGTTATTGTTCTAGATCACTTTGATTATTTGTCCAGGTATCTAGAACTATATGCCTCTAGAGAGTTTTTAGATGTCTAGAAAGATATGACACTCTAATTACTATCTGACCAGGAATCAATAGTCTTTCTCTGAAAGGTACCAGGTACTAGATATTTTAGTTTTGAAAATAAATCGTAATAAATATTTTTTCCCATTGTGCTGGGGATCAAACCCAGTACCACACATAATCTAAGCAAGCACTCTACTGCTGAACTACATAATCAAACCAAGGAAATATTTCAGAGGGCTGTAAAGTCTATATCACAACTACTCAACTCTCCTACTGTAGCCCCCAAACAGCCATAGTTTGTACACAGTGAGCAAGGTTGTTTTCTATTAGGAATTAATATATTTTGACATTTGAATTTTATTCCATTTAATGTGTTTTGAATCATTCTTTCAGAGATTGAACCATTTAAAATATAAATCCCCTTTTAAGTGCAGAATATGTATAAAAAAAGAAAATGGCACTTGTCTAGGTTTGGCCTGTGGGCCACGGTTTGTTCATCCTTTTAGCTGTCATTTCTTTACACTTCTATTTTCTTTCCTAGATGAAGAAAGGTGTTTTTATGAGTGTATATGGTGACTTATTTCTGTACTTAATACATTGTCAAACATTGCTTACTGGTCTTTTCCTGTGACAATTCCAACTAAATACATAGAAGAAACTTGAAAAAGAAGTGTTTGTGTGTGTTTGATTGGTTTGGCTTGTGGGTGTGTGTGCGCGTGCGTGTGAGTGTGTGTGTGTGTATGGAGAGAGACAGAAACAAGAGAGTCAATTTCATGAATGGCAGCACTGTGGTACACAATTTTGAAAAACCCCAAATTCATCCTTGCTCTTTTTTCCTTAAATATCTGGCCAATCAAAATGGCATGAGAATTCTACCTCAACATCTGGAGAATTCACCAAATTTCGACCGTTTGTGACATCATCCTTTGTTCAGATTCACATCCCTTCTTACTTACGTTACTACAATACTATGCTCAGAATTATTGTGTGTGTTTAATCATGAAATCCCAAAATAGCAAGTTTCCAAGCCAGAAAAATATCTAGATTAAGTCTCCACACTCCATTCTTACTTCACTTGACACTTTCAGCAAGTGAGACCATTGTAATGCTCTTCTGACTCATTTCTCTTCCATATAACCCAATTTAATGAAATAGAAAAAATTTAAATCTAATCAAAACAAAACATAAAAGATACTCATTGAAAGGAGGAAATTGGCTACCGTGTGGAAGAAAAAAAACATGAAGCACAGGGGTTTTTTTATGTTTTAAAAAATAATAAATGTTTATATGTTGATATTTTGGTGCTTCTTCCGTTTCATACTAGCTACAAGACCAATAATATTAAACATAAATTCTATAATTTGCAGCATGCTTGGTTTTGTAGATTGTCCAATTCACTCCCTTTGACTTCCTGAGTAACCTCAGCTAACTAACAGTGGATTGCTACGGTACATTTAGAAACCAAATATTGCTCTCTTTCTTCTTAAATGATTCTGCAGTCACTGTTTGTCATCAGCTATATTCTCTTTAAACTGAATCGCATGTATGAACTGTATTCCTCTTCTTGCTTTCACTGTAACCTAGGCAACTCCCACGGAATAATACCAAATGAATGAACATAAGCATATTCCGGGTCACCTAGAAGAACACTTTACAATTATATACTGTCATGCACTGTCAACATTCATATTTCTATTTCTATTTACAAACATGTTGAAACTAGATAATGCTGTTTTAATTGTTCTGGGATGATTTGAAACAAGAGTCAGATTTCATTTGTAAATTATGTGGTACTACCCAGTGTGCTCTGCATAATAAAATATCTTGGTAGTTAGAGTGATGGGTGGAGTGAGTCATCTCATAGCATACAAAAGGGCAAGCCACATTCAATATGCCACAGCAGTCATATTCATGTATGAGCTACAATTTAGTTTCATCAAAAAATAATGTGTGATATTAAATTAATGCTGTTAGTTCAGTGGGAGTTTTTGCTTGTTTTCTGAATTGCACACACACACACACACACACACACACACACACACACACACACAAAAAAAAAAAAAAAAACCAAAGTGTATTTCTATACTGCTCTTGTTTTGTTCATGTTTAACTGACATTATAATAAAACTAAATTAACATTGAATAATACCATTTTTCCTTCAAAATAATGTAGAATAAAAGCTGCAAATTACACACAGAAGTCTAAATACTATCCTCCACAAACAGGACCAGGAAACCTTAGGGGAAATGACTAACTCCAGGTTTCTGATAGGAAATGAATAAGATGAGATTTTGTCATTTTTTTCTAACAAAAAGGAAGCTTTCAAAGACTAATGTGTTCGTGCGAAAAGGACACAAAAGCTTCTAAAGATAATAGTAGCTGTGAATGATGGAAACATAATAAATATAAAAATTTCTAAGTTGAGTCAGGATTTTCAAAGAGATCTCCTAAACAAAAGCCTCAGTGGAAGCTATTTTTCTGGCATCCATAGAATATCAACTTACATACTCTGAAAATTAACAATAAAAAGAAAATAAATCAAGTTTATTTTCCTTTTTCCATAGAAACAATCTCAGCACAGCAAAATAGTCTTAGTAGAAAATCAACTTTTTTTTAGTCTCAAATGTAGTAACAGACCCAAGCAACATCACCAATGGATGAAACATGAGATGAAATATTGAAGTAAAAAATTGTAAGGCTATTATCACCTAAATATCTTAACAGCTTCCCTATCAGTATCTTCATCAAAATTTGATGTTATCACTATTCTTTAGTTTACATTATCTTAAACTTGCACTTGTCTGGTACCTAATGATGGTAAATGCATTTTTAATAGTGCTCTCAAGACCCAGCAATACCATTCATGGGCATATACCTAAAGGATGTTCCATCCTACCACAAGGACACTTGCTCAACTTGCTCAACCATGTTCATAGCAGCTTTATTCATAATAGCCAGAAACTGAAAACAACCTAGATGTCCCTCAACAGAAGAGAAGATAAAGAAATTGTGGTATATTTACACAATGGAGTATTACTCACCTGTAAAATTTGCAGGCAAATGGATGGAACGAGGAAAAAATTATCCTGAGTAAGGTAATCCATAGTCCTTTCTAATTAGACAATGCTATTTTAGCCCTTCTTAACTTTTACTAAAATTTGTTTTGTAACACAATATTTTTCTATGCACTTGAATCTAACGTACAGTTTATCGCTCTTAGGTGGGATGTTCTGTACCTATCTGATTAACTATTTTTGTTTAGATGGTTTACTTACTACTGAAAGTGAGGTAATAAGTTTTCTACTATTATTATATTACAATTTTTCTTATTGCTGCCAATATTGCTTCATATATTTATGTCTTTAATGTAGAGTAAATATATATCTAGTATATTTTTCATCATTATATAATAACCTTCTTTGTCTCCTATAACAGGTTTTTCCTTAAATTGCACTTTTTATGAAGTAAGTTTAGTTACCACTTTGTGTTGCCTTTGTGAGAAATAGTCTCTTCTATTCCTTCACTTTCAGCATATGGACATCTTTAAATTTAAAGTTAGTCTCTTGTAGACAGCATGTATGTGAATAGTTATTATTGCTTTAACTTATGTTTTTGTTTTATCCCATTGAATCATTCTATTTCCTCATTGGAGAAATTTAATCCATTTGTTTAAAAACAATTATTGATAAAGAAGGACTTGCTATTGCCATTTTAATTATTTCCTGTCTTGCAGTTCTTTTGTCCCATTGCTCCTCTCTAGATCTCTAGTTTTGTAATTCACTGATTTCTTTTTATAATGATGTGCTTTGATTCCTTTCTCAATTATGATAAAATTAAATGTTGAGTGATACTCTATTTAGGTTATGATGTCTTAATAACTTTAAAAACTTTAAGTTATTAACAACTTGACTTCAATTGTATATTGTTTTTTAAGCTATAAAGAATGTGATAATGTTATTTGCAGTTAAATAGATTGAACTGGAGATCATTGTGTTAAGTGAAACAAATCAATCTCTCCAAGACAAGTGTTACAATATTTTTTATATGTAGAATTTAGGGAGGAAAACTGTTGGGATACATTGCTGGCTGGTAGCATTGTCCACCAAAACAAACAAACAAAAAACCAGAAATCAAGGAAC